AAGAGTTACTTCACGCTTGTGTAGTACAATAACAATAGTACGTACTAGTTTAGAATATGAAAGAAGGAAGAGTGTAGATAGAACAGGAACAGCATGAGACCCCATCAGTCTTGATATCTTACCATATCTCCTGCACAATTGTATGATGATAATGATAATGATCCACAGGTAAAGAGGGAAAGCAAACTGGAGCCATTGTCTAGCATAACTGTCCATACCATTGTAAAAACACATCTCAAATCCAAAGTCTAAGTTAGTCCATGATATTGCTTGACGCAAGACTGGCAATGCTCCTTTCCTTGAAAAGACTGGTTCGTATAACTTGACAATGTTAACATAGAACAATAGACCATTCAGTGTACCCAGTGATACTGTTAAATTGAGAGCGATCAGTAAAACCACAAGCAGTACACCCATCACTGCAAAGAGAGCAATCCAAGCTATTATCATGTAATTGTCATGACACTGTCCACACTTGTTTGACCCCATTAGTAGACTGTATCTCTCTCTACATGATCCACACATTCTCTGTCCTCTATTATCCACACATTGAGTATCAGTGTCATTCAACTGAAAGGTAACAGGATTAGGAGAACAATAGAGGAGACAGTCCTCATTGATAATGCATGCATTAGGATTGGTTGAATTAGCATTGAAAGATGTACAGGTGTTATACATTCCAATCCACAGCAGACCATTGTGTGTAATGCTTAGACTAGTTATATTGCATGTCACATTCTCTCTTGAAACACTTTGACTGCAAGCACAGATAAATCTACCTTGTGAGTTAACTACACTAAAACCAATGGGACACTCATTAACAATGTAATTCCAATAAATGGAAAAGAGAGTTTTAGTAACAAATACCAAGGCATGCTCTACATGACTCGGAGCATGGTTTGGTTTGTATTCAACCAGTGATGAGCAATTAGTTTTAGGCTTAAATCTAGCATATATATGATTGACTGTATGAGCACTGTTTTTATTGAGTCCATCGCGTATTTCTAATAAACCATCAGTGACACTTAGTGATCCAAAGTAATCATAACCAAGCAAAACTATATGAAACTTTAGTGCTTGACCTGGATAAATCTGTTTGTCACTTGCATTTTTTAAATTAGTAAAATTGCAGAACTGAATTTTTCGTACATCACCTGTTGAACTAATATTTGGGTTTGTCAAGTTAAAACGATTGCTTCCACGATCTGTATATCCATATATATCATCACCAAATATCCTGGCACTATTGTTTATTAATGTAAGAGGTATATTTGATGCCTCTAATGTTATGCCACTACCTGATGTCTCTTCAACAAAGATCCCTCCACCTTTATAAGAAGCATGGTTACCAATAAACTCCAAGTTAGCTGATGATGATAAAGTCAATTGTGATGAGTCATTTATTGCTAATCCTCCTCCAACCACTCCAGCATTGTGTTTAAATGTTAATTTATTTTCAATTGTTACTGATGAAAAGCTAAGTTTCAGCCCTGTTGAGGTACTGTTAGCAACAGTAACATTACTGAGACTAATAGAATTACTGCTCACTATCACATTTGCTTTATTTCCAATAAACTGAGTATCTGTTATATTGATTTGGATTGATGTCATGAATTTTTCATCAATAAATAAACCTGTACTTGTGTTGTTAGCTATCAAACACGACTTCATAACAATAACAATAATAAAATGATTGCTAAGTGTTCTAGGTAAGTATGCATGCCTTATTATTGCAGGTCCATAAAAATTATCACGAAATTGACTTTCCTGAATTACAAAAGTAGAAACTAATTGGATCCCAGGAAACTTGCACTGTGGCTCAAATGATTTCAGGTTTTCACTAAATTCAATAGTAAAGACGTTGTTATGATAAGGTACTGATCGAAATGATGAGTTCTTAATATGAAAATAAAAAAGGCTATCACCCAAAATAAATGTAGA